TGAACCAAGGCCCGAAGCCCAAAAGCAACCCAACCCTATAAAAAGCTAACAAAATGACAATTGACTATTACTGGATACAACACTTTGCAGTGAGTAAGAAGGAGATGTCTCCTCCTCCACGAATTAGAATTGATCCGGAGGCTTGGGCGGTGGACGGATAACAGTGGCAAAAAGATCTCATTCTTCAATGATATGCTTGGAATTTGGAGAATCTGTGAATGATGAGGACATGAGTTTCAGTCTAATCGTATCTAGTGTTTAGTGCAGCAATGAATTTTGGGATAATGATTTCTTCTTGAAAATCCTTTTGTTTCACTCCATCCATATATTATATACAAGTGAGCTTAGAGCTAATCTTATAATTGAGTTATTGTAGAACTTAGTGCTGCATTGCTAGTGTTGAGATGCCCAAGTAATGAGGTTCTTCTATAAAGATGGTTGGATATAAAACCCACATTTTGTTTGAAGAAATGACCACAAGGGCTTTGTGTAGTCACATTTGAAGAAGAAGTGGTCATATGACTCTAAGTGGGAGCTACATAGGGTGCAAAGGGTGGCATTAATGTGGGATGTGCACCTTCTATTTAGTGTAGGCAATTTCTTTTGGATAGCAACCCACATGGTGAATGAGTGCTTGGGAATTGAATTCTTAGACCAAACTAGGTGAGTCCATGGTAGACTTGGTAGGTGATGATTGATATGTTTCAGTGTTTGGGCAATTGAGAAGGCTCTAGTAGAATATGGTATCCACATCACTTTGTCATGTTTTGTGGGCAAGGCACGGGGAAGTTATTAATTGGCTTGCAGCAATTGTAGGAATATATTGGTGATGGCAGGGGGAATAGCCAGGTGAAATTAACTATGAATGAGCTCAATTTTATTTTGGTGTCAATGTCAGTGTCTATAAGCTTTTGTGAAGAGATAAGAAGGTATAGTGGCCCTAAGCTGCACTAGTTGTCAATCTAGAAATTAGCGATTGTTCCATTACCAATTTCATGCTTGGCAAGAGCTTTGATTGATGTCCTTAGGTTGAGTAGCCTTCTTTAACTCCAAGAGCATTGGCCAGGAGTCTTGACATCCCAAATGCTTCTCCCTTTGAGCAAGTAATGATTTACCTATTGAACCCAAAACATTTGTTTGGAACTAATGATGTGCCAGAAGTACTTCATTACTATAGCCTCATTCCACATTGCAAGGTTGGGGATGCCAAGTCCACCAGCCCTCTTAGGTAGGCAACAAAGGTCCCAAGCAACTTTGGAGCCAGTTTTCTTGAGTAAAGGCCTAAACCAAAGGAAGGATCTGAATAAGCAATCCATTTCATGAATGATGGCCATTAATAGAATGAATTTGGAACTCCAATAGAGTTAAGGAGAAAATAACACAGCTTTGATGAGCTGCAATCTACCAACAAAATAGAGGTCTTTGTTGGACCAGTAAGTAATCCTCTTGGTGATTTTATCAATCAGAACTCTACAATTATTTGTTTTTAACATGGATGTGATCAAAGGGACTCCTAGGTATCTCACAGGAAGTAGCCCTTTTTTAAACCCAAGGAATGATAGGATGTTGGATTCCAATTTATCTTTAACCCTTGTGATAAAGTATTGGCTCTTGTTGTGGTTAATGTAGAGCCCAGAAAGAGTAGAAAATGCCTCAATAGCAAAATTAAGAGTTGCAATGAATGGCATTCTAGAATGAGAGAAGAATATAAGATCATCAGCAAAGATAAGGTGAGTGGGCTTTAGCTGTTTACATTTCCAATGAAATTTGAATGGTATGTGTCTGTTGTGAATTTGTTCAAGATTAGAGAGAACACCTGCATAACAAGGACAAAAAGAAATGGTGATAAGGGGTTACCTTATTTCAACCCCTTGACACTGTTAAAAAAGCCATTGAATTCACCACTTATAGATATAGTAAATAATGGTGTGGTGACACAAGTTTGGATCCAGTTGAGATGACGGTAGGCATGAGTTTGTTTGCAAGGAGCTTTGATATACATTTGTATGTAGTTGAACAACATGAAATTGGTCTAAAGTCACTGATAGTAGAAGGGTTTGGGACTTTAGGGACAAGTGAGATATAGGTTGAGTTAACCTTTCTAAGTAACTTCCCAATTATGAAAAACTGCCTAATTGCCCTTGTGATATCATGTCCAATGATTGCCCAAGACTTTTTGAAGAATTGAGCATTATAACCATCAGGCCCTGGTGCCTTGTCACAGCTAAGAGAGAACATACAGTGCCTGATCTTAGCATCAGTAGGTATGGAGCATAATGATTTAGTGAAAAATGTAAGCATAGAAGGCTATATAAAATATTGTAAGTGCTCCAGTCTTGTGCAGGTGTGTGGATTCATCCCAAGACATTCATGAAAGTAAGAGACAATTTCATTTTTAATAGTTGCTTTAGTATCTAACAGAGTACCATTGGAAGAAGAAATGAAGGCAACTTTGTTCCTGTTACATCTTAAAGCTATGGATTTATAGAATCCCCCCTTGAGCCATTGAACTCTTGACTTCTGCCTACAGTTTTGTTCCTCAGTGAGCTTGAGTGATGTGTAGGTGTCAAGTAGTTACTTCTCTTGGGCCCTCAATGCCAGGTTGTCAGGTGCAGAATCAAGGGCCAATTGGCAGCTAGAAAGAGCTGTTTTAGGACTCTAGACCTAATTCTGTAAAGTGCTAAGGGATCTTACAAACTTAGATTTCAATGGTTGTTTGGGGTTCTTTAGCTTAGATACCACTTAGAACATTTGGTGACCTTCAATATAACTGCTCTAGTGGGATTGCACCAGAAGAAGGAAATCATCATGATCACTCCAGCTGTTAAAGTATCAAAATGGAACTCTTCTCTAAGGCTTAAGGTTGCCAAGATTAACTATCATGGGACTGTGATCTAAAATGCCTGGAGTGAGGAAGTTGCAGTGGGATAAAGGAAATATGTGGTTCCAAGAGTCATTAATGAGCACTCTATCTAATTTCCTTGCTATATTAGTGATCCCAGGACTTTTATTGGACCAGGAGTGAAATACCCTTAAGAAATGAAGATCTTCAAGGTTTGTAGTGTGGAGGCAATTCCTGAAATCCATCATAGGCTTAGATATTTTCCTATTGCCACTATGATCCTCAAATGGAGATTTGATGATGTTAAAATCCCCCCTAGGATCCAAGGAGATGTAGAGATGGTGGATGACTGCTTAACAATATCATTCCATAGAAATTCCCTCTCTGTGGCTTCATTAGCAGTATAAACAAAAAATATGTAGAAGGTGGATCTGTAGCTTAGGATAGTGGCATGACAGTGCATAGACTATCTTGAACACTGCAGGATTTGAAGATCAACTGCTCTTGGGTTCCACATAACCCATATTCTTCCCAAGGGTGAGTAGCTGTAGTTGTGTGCAAGCATCCAATTCCTGGCAATAAATTTGTGAACTCTACTTACATTGGCTGACTTGACTTTTGTCTCAATGATGGCAGCAATGTCTGCTCTATTCTAAAAAAAAAAAAAAGAAATTTGACTTCCTCTTGTTTCAGAGTGTTATTCAAGCCTCTCATATTCCAAATTGCAATTGCTACCATTTGATGGGTTTGGAAGGTCTACCTTTTGGGAATATATTCCCTTTGAGATGAATGAGTTTCCTAGGTTGCCTCTTCTTAGTTGAGCTATCTTTCTTAGCCTTGCCTTTGCCCAAGACAGCAGATAAGCTGATGGTTGATTCAGTTTTGGACAGACTAATGTAGTCATCCTCAACAGGTGGTAGGGGTTGATTAAGTAATGTGAAATTCAAAGGGGATGATGCTTCTTCAGTAATGGAGTTTGGTATGAAATCAGGGTTTAAGTTTGTAGGGTTGTAAGATACCTCAAATCTACTTTTAGGTTATCAGTAGGTTTGAAGTAATGGGTAATAATATTCTGGCCAGGTTGGAGGCAATAGTGGTATGGGAAGAGGAGGACTGGTCATTGGTTGTGGAGTGGCAAGTTTTGGCCGAAAGACCAAAACATCTGCATGTGTAGTATATCACAGGCCTGTTTAAGTATTCAACAATGACATTTGTAGTCTTCCCCGAACTTTGGTGCAACTTGAGTACAGTAGGTAGGTCAGATGAGGCATTAATCTCAACACAGACCTTAGCAAATCTTGTTTTTTGCTTCTTTTCAATGATGGGGTCAGCAAAGAGGGGTACTCCAACAAAGGCATTAATATATATATCATGATCAATAACATTATATAATTTTCAGGAAATGTATGTATATGTAATGGTATACGGAACATGTAGCAAGTTGTTTTTGGCGCTATTTGGACACATTTATTTATGAATGGGTTAAAGTGCATTTAATAACCCTCTATCACTTAAAAAAAAAAAAAAAAAAAAAAAAAAAAAAAAAAAAAATCTAAATTTACAAATAAAACTTTTTTTTCCCCTTAAAGCCGGCTTCACAACACGCAAACCATTCAAGTCAGGAGTGCACGTGTATCGGTCTCATAACACACACACCATTCAAGTCAGGAGTATGATTCAAAAATGAAATCTCAATGACTTACCTCTCATATTTCAACCTTAGATTTTTAGAATTTTTAATATTAACATTTTAATTTTATCAAATACAACCCTAGTCTATCCTATATTAGCGGTTCAAAAAGGTCATGCATTAAATAATGTGCCAGTACATAGTTGGGTTTTGATGAATTATATGGGACCAAAATTAATCATTCATTATTTGGTGCAGTAGTTGTAAAGGTTTTGACTCAAGGCAACGTAGTGCAAGTTGCAATTAAGGTCAAAGGATAAGTTTGTTTAATTTACCGAAAAAGAAAAAGAAAAAAATAATAAAAAATAAAAGATAAGTTTGTTCCAGTTTAATTTCTACCTCCATTACCCCCCACCGAACAAAGCATCAAGCTAGGTGTCCCGTGCCCGCATTTCAACTCGTCCTACCGAAATCTGTGAAACCACTGCTGATGGAATCTTCTTCCCACTATAAATACCAAGCCACCCTAATGGCTTCTCTAAGTGATTGAGCTTCACTAATAATGTATACCTCTCTCTAGTCATAGTCGTATATATTCAAAACAAATCCTCATTCTCGCCACATAATGTGTGTGTATATATATATATTGAAGAGATAAATATTTTTACATATATCTTGTGTGGTGCTCATACAAGGAAGGAAACATAGTAGCAGCTTCTCATATACATACACCATTAATTTCCCACTTCATATATATATATTCATTACAGCTTTTCATTCCCCACTTTTCAAAGCTTTCTTCTATCTCTCCCACCTCTACAGATATCAAGATTGTAGAAGATTCCTCATCAATTTTTTTTCTTCAGCTCACGCTCCGCGTAAAAAGGTACAGTGGTCCTAGATGATACATGTTGCATGTGATGAATTTTGTGTATGACATAACTCTATTTGTGTATATATACATATATATGTATATGTATCTATATGTGTATTTGACATGCATGTGTATGTATCTTTGATTATTGCAGCTGCCATGAGGCTTTCATTCTCAGCAGCCTGCAAACAACCACAGCCCCTTGTAAATTTTCCGGGTGGACTAATCAACATGGAACCCTTCCTTCCGCGACGTCGGAAAGACAAGGTTGTGGTGGTCATGGGAGCTACCGGTACCGGAAAATCAAGACTTTCCATTGACCTAGCCACCCAGTTTCCGGCAGAGATCATAAATTCGGACAAAATGCAAGTTTACAAAGGGCTTGACATTGTCACCAACAAAGTCACTGAAGAGGAGTGTTGCGGAGTCCCCCACCACTTATTAGGGTTTGTAGATCCTAATGAGGACTTCTCATCCGTCGATTTTCGACACCATGCATCACTAGCCGTTGAATCCATAATCAGACGTGGCCGGCTCCCCATCATCGCCGGCGGGTCCAATTCGTACATCAAATCCCTAATCAACCACGATATCAAATTCCAATCAAGCAGATATGATATTTGCTACCTTTGGATTGACGTGTCGTTGCCTGTCCTCCACTCGTTCGTATCCGGACGAGTTGATCGGATGGTGGAGGCAGGTTTGGTGGACGAGGTTCGGAGTGTTTTCGACCCCCAAGCCGACTACACACGTGGAATTAGGCAAGCCATTGGAGTTCCGGAAATGGATCGGGTCTTTCGAGCCGAATCTGCAGCATCGAATGATATGAGTCGGACTAGGCTTCTTGAACTAGCCGTTGATGAAATCAAAGCCAACACTTGCAAATTAGCTTCCCGCCAATTCCAGAACATCGTGAGGCTTCGAAACCACCTCGATCAACGACACATGCATTGCCTTGATGCCACCGACGCATTAATAAAGCGCGGGAACGAGGCCGAGGAAGCTTGGGAGAAGCTGGTGGCGGCACCAAGCGCCATGATCGTCCGCCGATTCCTCTACGAAGACGATTTCATGGCCGCCATCGCCGCCGCTGCCCCTCCGACTTCTATCATCGGAGCACCCACCGTCGCGGTGGCCGCTGCAACTCACTAAAGAGAATAATATCATTTCCAACCCAAGTGTGCCACGTGGAATGTACCTTTTGTGCCTTTGTTTGTTTTTTTTTTTCTTCTTCCTTTGCTCTTAAGGTTGGTTATAAGTAACAAAGCAGGAAGGGGTTGCTGTCAGGTGGAGAAGTACACCGAAAGCGTGTCGGCCGTACAGTCTTGGGAGCATTTTAGAGATCCGTGCTGGGTGGCTGCTACAATTCTATGTGCACGAGCCTACTTTTGTTACTGTGTGGAATCATACGTTGGTTTATGTGGACCCCATATATGAATATAGTCCAATAAAAAGTATTGGCTCCACTTGTGTGGACCCCACGACCTTTGGGAGTGGCATTTTTGGTTTAGTGGGGTGCCCATCTTTTTACATGAGCATCTTCTGAGATTTTTTTTTTTTACCTTTTTTTTTTAAAAAATTTTGCAGTATATATTCTGAGATTGACAACTCTAGATATATATATATATATATGAGTTTAAAGATTTGTTGGCCAACGTTTTTATTTTATATTTTTATTGTGAAATTAGACTAATTAGTATAAAATAAAAAATAAGTGATGAAAGCATGTGTTTTTTAAAAATTATATTATTTTGAAATTTTAAGAATTTAGAATTAAGTGACAAGTGAAGTCTCGTGACTCGAAATTTTATTTTGTAATTCTTATCTTTGTAACTAATATTCAAATTGCATTATTTAATGTGTTTATAATTAAATGTTCAATTGAGTTATCAAATCAAAAAAAAAAACTTAAATATGAAAATTTGAAATATATATATATATATATATATATATATATATATATATGGGTAAAGTACAATGACACCCTTTTTTAGAATTTTTGATCCAAACAAGCCCTTAATGTGTTGGAAAAGACAAAATTGCCCATCACTATTTAATTCATTTTTAATGTAAATTATCAAAATTTATGGAAAGTCATTTTTTTCCCTTAGTATATACAATAAATACACACTATTACTGCCACTTCTTGTAGAGAGATTTTAAGCCGGTGGATGTAGGACGTCGGCGGCGGTAGTGGTTGTGTTGGTTTATGGCATAGTGAAGGCATATATATATATATATAGACACACACACTCATATACTACGTATATAATAGAGTTTTCGAGTAACTTTAGAGAGGGAGGGAGGAAGTTAGTACAGAGAGAGAAAGAAGTTAGTATTGATTGAACCAATATGTGAAGCCGGTGGGTAGAAGTCGGCGGTGGCGGTGGCAGTGGCAGTGGTGGTGGTGGTGGTTTATGGCATGGTGGCGCTGGGTAGTGGGGATAGCCAGAAAGATGAGGACGGCTCACGCTCCACGCGCCAAGATTTGTCTCTGCGGATAGATTTAACGAGCGTACACTTGACCCTGGCCACATGCTTGGAGCTCCCTTCACGTCGCCGAAACACCTTCCTCTTCCAATAAAACCCAGTACAAACGAGAAGTCGAAAAGCCCATTAAAGCATCGTTCCATCAGCGTTCGTTTCTGCAACGTTAACATCACCAAAAATTGGAATCAGCGATTCCAGAACCAAAATCACGACTTGCTGCCGCAACTCTCCTCATCCATGCAAGCTTCAAGGAAAAAAAATCCGTTGTTGCCCAAGGTTCAGTCCGGCCTTAATTCGCTGGTAAATTAAATCTCTTCTAGGTTCAGTCCGCTCCTCGTCGTTTCAGTTGTTGCTCTGGTGAATATACATAAATGGTGGGTGGTTTTGGGGATGGAGACAATTTAGGGGCGGAGAGGGCTAGAGATTTGGTGGTGGGTTCGAGGGAGAGGCAGTGGCAGCTTGTTTGGATTAAGGTTTGAGAGGGGAAAGAGAAGAGGAGAGAGAGGAGAGAGGAGAAAGAAAATTTGGGTTTTTCAAATGGGTTGTACCCGGTAACCCATTTATATTTTTTTTTTGTTCGTAAATCATTTATACATATTTAATCTAATGGTATTTAAGTAATAAAAAAAGGTTGTATTATTTAATTAAATTAATAATTTAATATGTCAAAGAGTAATAAAATTAAGGTAAATTACACTCAAACCCCTTGAGGTTAGGTCATTTTATACCTATATGAACATTTTGGTTTTAATTTTTAGTTATATTTGAAAGAGTGATTTAATGTTTCAGTTACTTTTAGGTGTAAAATGACTATAAAACCCTTTTGATTTTGTACTTATTTTATTTTCATATATAAAATTACTTAACTACCCTAACAGACCCATCTGAGATGACCAAAATGTCTCCAAAACACAAACTGAATCCTATTGCCAGAGTTTATTGGTGGAATGAGCTGCTCGGCGGGAAGCTAGAAATGTCGGCACTGATGACGCTGAAATTTAAGGAACAGCAGCCAAGGAATGAACCAGTAAGAGGTGGGTTTGTTCCGCAGAGGCGAGCGGTGATGGTTAGCTGCTGGCAATCACCAAATTGGGGTGGGTTTGTTCCGGCGTTAGTGATGATGGATGACGTGATTGCAAGGCAACATGGAACGGCGAGAACAGGAGGCTATGACCATGAGTGGACGGTTAACGTGTCCGGCAAACTTACCGGCAGAATTGTCTTCACAGGTTAGCATGGAGTGCACGCCGGCGAAGTGGGTCTATGGTGATGATGGACAGCAAGTTCGAAGCGACGGAGATGGCTGGTGGTTGATGGGCCGGCGATGGTGAAGATGATGGCATGGTTTTGAGTCTTGACGGCGACAGATTGAGCAGCTCAACATGGACGACGATACGGAATAGCAGTGGGAACACTCCGTCCAAACTCTCTCCATCGTCACAACCATCTTGCAGCCTGAAAAACTTACCAGCGGGCTACGGAAATGTCTTCAACGGTGAGCATGGAGTGCACGGCGGCGAAATGGGTCTAGTGATGATGGACGGTAGTTCGAAACGAAGGTGTGTCTGTTACTCTATCTCTATTCCGTCCATGGAGTCACAAGCTTGTCCAAGAATATGGGAAGAGACTACAGGCACGAAGAAAAGAGAGTAAAAAAAATATATATATATCAGAATTAATTAAATAAGAGTAACATAAACAGCAACAACCATTAATCATTTAAATGCATTTCCACACACCTCCATTGCTAAAGCGTTGCCAATCAAGAATGTGCATAGCAAAAGATGTTGATTCTTTACCACCAGAAATATTTTAGCTGCCAAAAAATAGATAATTTTAAACACAATTAAGGGCCTCTTTGCCAATTAAAACTACTGAGACAACACCACACACACAAACACACATTTCTCTTCCCATTTAGTCTGGTTGAATTCAACTTCCAACCCATGAATATTAATTACCCAATTCATACAACAACCGTGTGAGCCGGAATTGATTCCGAACTCAGAGAGTGAAAATAAGGAGATTATGGTCCACAAAAAGTTTGCGAAATTTCCTAATACATCATAGCTGCTTCAATGGGCTATAGCTAGCTCTTAAATTGATCACCGACCAACAATATTTGAAATTCTCAAATAATATTAGCATCTAATGAAAAATAATACAAAACCCAAATTGAAAACAGCATAATCCCCATTTGCCCAGAAACAAAATTGCATAATTCTTGTATAATTATCAGAAATTTGAGAGCAATAGTAGTGTAGTGGGTAGATTTATTATATATATGCATATAAGTATATATATAGAGAGAGAGTGTACAAGCGTGGAAGCGATCTTGGGGACGGCCTGACTTGATGAGGACTTCGAGGTCGACGAGGCCGAGAGACATGAGGCCAAGAGTGAGACCAGCCATGAGACCAGCGAAGATCACAAGTCCTATGATTATCAGCACATACAACGCGAACATAGTCCCACAGCACGGTGCGTTCGCTGCCATCTCTAAAACTTATATCTCTCTCTCTAAAACTCTGTCTCTCTATATCCTCCTCAAGATTTTGCAGTCGTAAGGGAAGGAAAGGGAAGAAGGTGTATCTGTTACTCTATCTTTTTTTTTTCCTTTTTTTTTTATAATTTTATATATATATATTTTCCCTTTCCCAGGTCGGCAGAATAGCTGATGATGAAGACGGCAGAACAGACTAGAGCGGCGACGGCAGCGATGAAGGGGCGGTGGTGGCCGATGCAGGAGGTGTAGCGGTTGCTGTAATAGCCGAGGACGGGATATGTATTTATATAGGGGCTTTTTTGTCATTTAAGATTACAGATATTTTGTATTAAACAATTGAGGGTAAGATGGTCAATTTACATGTATCAGAAGTGTAAAAGAAAGTTAGGGTGTAAGTGAAAGTTAAAACTAAAATTTTCATCTACCTGAAATATGACCCAACCTCAAGGAGTGTTGATGTAATTTACCCTAAAATTAATTCACTGTCTTTGTCAATTTTATCAAATCTAAAGATATCATTGTCCAAAATTATGCCATCTTGTATATGTCTATCTTTATAACAAACGTCATAGGTGTCATTGGACTTTACTCTATATATTTTTAGGACAATATTTGCCTACTCACTAATTAATAGGAAGTTCATACTTACCCCTATGTGGTGTAAAATTAGAGAAACATGTGTCCCTATAATATAAAATAATAAAAATTAAAAGATTTGAGAGGTTATTCAGATTAAACCTATATTATCTAAATCTAAATCTATTATCCCCTCTCTCATGCTACTTTGGTTTTCTCTTTTTGTCTTGAGAGGGAGTGTGAATGAGAAGGGGATTCTGTCGACAAAAATATATTTTAAACTAAAATTTTTCAATAAAATAATATTACAAAATAAAAACAAAGCGGTGGATGATGAATAGAAAAAATAACTTGTATAGTTATAGTTATAGAAAAAATAACTCTGTATAACTATAAATATAAATATAATGATACATAAATATTTGCTTTTTTCAAAAGAAAAAGAAGAAAAGAAATAAGTAATAATAATCTATATTGCAATCAATAAATTATCTATTAAACTAAGTGAACCAGATTTTATTTAATTGAGTGCACTTTAGATTAAAAAAGTTGATAAGTATATATAAAGATTACACATGAAAGATATAACTCAAAACTTTCAATATTAGCATATTAGGCTTCAATAGAGTAGTTTGAGAGGGAAAGAGAGAGTTAAATTATTATTTGATTTACTTCTTTTTTAGTTGACTCGAGAAATATTTAATTTTTTTAATTTTTATTATTTTTTATAAGGACATTTGTCAAAGTATTTTTACGACACATCAAGATAAGTACGAATTTTCTTATTAGTAGTTAGTCGGCAAGCATTGTTGTTTTATGAATATTGTTGTCACCTTGATAACGTGTTTCAATCACCATTCAATCATAGCCAAACAATCCTTGTACGGCCTGGTATGTGGGACTCTACTAGAACGTGGATGTGCTAATCTGATGGACGTTTGATGTGGAATTCGCGGTGGTGATTGAAATGTTTGAGCTACCGGTTGTTTCTTCATGTGTTTGTGAAACGACGATGTGATGAGAATCAAAGATAAAGGGCAACAGAATGGGAAGCAGAACCGGTTGTATTGGTGGGACCCAACCAGAAACCATTGTCGTCTTCGTGCCACATGATTCCAACAATATAATACTATGATGATAAAGTCTCTGTGAACTTAACAAAATAATAAAATAAATTAAAATATACACTCTCTAAGCACTCATCACCACCTCTTCAAAAGGCTTCTAGGCCCACAAGAAGAAACAAATTGTGTTTTAGTCTTTAAGTAATTATAGAGAATTTAATTAACAAACTAATGGTCATATCAAACTTTGATAAAAGTAGCTGAATCTTGGCTTTGCATCCCATATTAAAAAGGTGAAATGATTTATATGCTTTCATGTGTATCCAACTACATGTACTTAAAATATTATTTTTTTTTATTTATTTATTTTTGGAATAAATTTAAGTAAAACTAGGTAAGGCTTGTCCTAATATCCTAATATGATATCAACACCGCCCCTCAAATTTGTAAAGCATTTTCCACGCACCGCCTCCTTCCACCTCACACCATATAAAATGACATGGTAGCCTTTTACTTTGTCAAAAAGACCTAATTAACTTCGAAATTATACATAAAAAGAACAAAATACACCATTTGCAATGCTTTATATATTGACAAATGTATGTTTGTGTGTGTAATATATATTCCTTCGTCTTTCTCCATTTATCTCCATATTCATTCTCTCTCTAATTTATAGAGAATCCACCAAGACCATTACACCAAAATGCTCCATTCACAGTACTTTCAAAAACCTAGCCCACACACCAAATTGCTCCATTCGCAATTCTCCAAAAACCCTAGCCCACGTACACAATGAAGCATACTTTTCATAAGTTAAAAAACATAACAAATTTCTAATGTTTCTTTCTTAGAGCCTGTTTGGAATTACTTCTCTATCATTAAAAAGTGTTTTCATTTTAAAAAACTGCGGTGAGATGCGTTTGGTAACAAAAATAAGTATGTTGTAGAGGTTTCATCAAAAAAACGCGTTCACTTGAAACTACAAATCGTAGCTTTTAGAATTGTCTTTTAAGTGTAAGTAGATTTTTTTATGATAATTATATTGTTTTAGACAATTTAATCCCTCTTTACTTTTTATAAATACAATTTTGTCCCTAGTGTTAAAAAAATATACAAATATTATGCAAACCAATTTGTGTTGTCTAAAACCTGAAACTTGCTAGTATTGGTGTTATTGTACCCTTTCCTTTAAGAAACATATATAGTAGAAATTTAGTACTCTTCCTTTTAAGAAACCTATATATTAGAAATTCAAGTTATATTAGAAGTTTAGTTTAGTAGGAGTTTAGTTCCATAATCATCCAATTTTTATCATTTATCCAAAATCTATATTTATATTATTTCTTGTCCATATATCAGCATGTTTTTTTAGATCAACTTCTTAAATTGGGTAATTTTTACTTTTGATTAAAAGAAAGAAGAGAGAAGAGAAGGAGATCCAATAAAAGGGGAAGAGAAATAGGATTCTCTCTCCTCCAACATATATACATATATGTATATACAAAATTGTTGGCCTAAGGATTTTATCTAAAGGTCAATCTTATGTTTTGATGATTACAAACCATTAATGATATTTAAGTACTAATGTTTTCATTGAGTGATATATAGTTGATCAATATTCAATCCTCAATGTTGAGCTAGAAGATCCATTCCAAGCATTACAAATACTCAAGCTATGGATTCAAGGAAGCCTTAAAAGTTGCAAGAGATCAAAGGCATATTCAATCAAAGAAAAACTCGAACTTCAAAGATCACACAAAGCATTTCAAAGAAAGAAAGCAAGTCTTCATCAAGCCTAAACGATCATGGTCAAAGAATGAAGAAAATGGTAGATAGGATGGTGAGAGCTTAAGATTCAATGTCAAAGTATATTTGAATATTTTTTGAAGCTCAAAATTATAGGACCATGCATATCATATATCATTCATATGCTCCTATGACTATTAGCAATAGACTAGGAACTTCATTTATATATATTGTCGTATGAAATCTTTGCTAAGAAAGAGTTAGTTCAAGTTTGATAAGCTTTGAAAGAACTCATTTTTAAGCTAGAAATTCTAGGACCATGCACATTAATCATTATATTTATTTTGGTCTCTAAAAAGAAAAAGAAAAGGCATTGAATTAATTTTTCATCTTTAAAGCCTTTGTTGCCAAAATTTGGTAAATAACTCTTGGACACAATACACTTGAAATTTATCATCTTCATATGTCTCAAGACTCTTAGAAATAGGCCTTGAACTTAATTGAATCATTCATCAAAGTTCTAGGTGCTAGAAAGATGGATATCTCAAAAGAAGCTATTTTCAGCTTAGAAAATTTCAGACCAGCCTGCACTAAAACTGCTATAACTATTTGTGTAGTTGGAATTTTTACACAAGGCCAGTGGCATTGGAAAGCTGACTTCGAGCCCTTGAGTTTAGACTCAAATTTCACCTAAATTGGATTAAAAATGACTGAGATATGAGCTTCACAAAATACCTGATTCTGCTCTGCGAAAATTCTGACCAGGTTGCACTTAAACAGCTATAACTTTTTCTATGGTTGTAATTTTTGAGCAAGGCCGGTGGCTTTAGATAGCTGACTTCAAGAAAATAAATTTAGACTCAAATTTCACCTCATTTGGAGTTTCATGGACTAAGTTATGTCTATTTGAAGTCATGCACTTTTTTCTGTCCAATTTAGCAGTAGCCTTCATGAAGCAAGAGTAGCCTCTATAAGAAATAGAGCCAGCTCTCTCAAAGACTAGAGAAGGCTCTACAAAATTAGAGACGGCTCAGGAAAGTAGAGAAGGCTCAATGAAAAACTAGAGAGGGCTCTACCAAAAAGTAGAGAAGGCTCTACGAAAGTAGAGAAGGCTCTAAAAATCTAGAGAAGGCTCCACTTTTCCATTGAGCCGTCTCCTTTTCAGAGAAAGAGCCTGCTCCACTTTTCTAATGGAGCCGCCTCCATTTGAAATTGAGCCGCCTCCACTTTTGCAAAGAGCCGGCTCCTTTGAGGGTTTTGAATTACAACGGCATTTTTTCTGCATTTAATTCCTCTAACCACTTCTAACAGCTATATTGAGCTACGAATTTCTATATATATACAGAGGGCTTGTCTACAAAAATACACCATTTTTAAGAGACATTAAATTACATTGTAATCAGAGCTTTTGTTCTCAATCTTCTCTTTATCTCTCTTATTTCACTCTTATTCTATCTTGAGAGATTCCAGAAAAGATTAACAGGGCTTTTGCTCTTTTTTTAATCTTCAAAGAGTTTTTGCTCTATTATACTACTTGAGAGAGCATTCAAGAACATTCATTCAAGTGCATCAAAGAGAGCTTTTGGCTCTATCTTTATACAGAGCTTTTGTTCTGGTTTTACTCACTCATAGAGCCTCTGTTTAGACATCAATCTTCATCTCATATAGAAGCTTCCATAGCTGAACCAGAGTGAACTTCAGAGAGTATTTAGTAAGCCTTTGCTGAACTTTTGTTCTAGTATTTCATCAGAGCTTTTGTTCTGCATTTTCCTTATCATCTCTCATACATTTCATACTTAGAGTTTGAGCTTCACTTGATTTCATATATACTCTATTGTGAGGTTTGATTTGTATCAGTTCTTGAGAGGATTTCTTGTACTACAAATTCTATCTACAAATCTGCTGTAAGCCTAAAAGGAAGAGTTTCTCGTAGCAAAGAAATTATAAGGGCTGGTGTGGCCTATGTAAAACTAAGAGAGGTAGTCTCTTAGCAAGGATACTGTAAAGGGTTGGTGTGACCCAAAAGGAAGCCTAGGAGAAGGGTGTTCTCCTAGCAAGAAAGAGAAGCAAGGTCTTGCTTCAATTGAAGGTTTGCTCTCCACTATTAAGGAGAAGCTCT